GAGGTGCCCTTTGTCACAACCAACGTCTACATCTCACGGCTGGACTCCCCCGTCACGGCGCCGCTGCACACGGACCGCTTCGACTCCTTCATCATGCAGACGGAGGCTAGGGTGGTGAAGGGACCGAGGCATTTGAGCAGAGCCCAAAACCCCGATTGGCCATTTCAGTAGGTGGTTCTACTACTTGGTTTGATAGGGGATCCCTGGGTCAATGGGTGTTGATTTGTTTCACCCTTATGGCCCTTTCAGACCTGTTGCACCATGTGGAAACATGATCTAGCCTTGAGCACCTTCACAAATGACACTCATGTTCAAGAGGATGTGCCTTAAATGCTCAAAAGGTGGGAAGCACAACAAAGGCCATATGTCCAATATGTCCTTGCAGTTAGTTGAATCAGAACCCTGCGGTTGGTGTGCCAACTTATTTATTTTTGTACTCTGGACATTCTGGACGCTTGGGCAGCTGCTTGGGCAGTTCGGCTTCGGTGGCATCACCGCATCTTGCAAATGCAACGGCGTCAAAATTTCGACGGCAATGGCCCCGCTTGCGCCGTGAGAGGAAGTGAGCTGAATGGTAGGTGGATGCCGCACCGTAGACAGGTTGAGTGAAAACATGCTGGAAGCCAACATTTATTGGGATCAATGCGTGGGTGGCCTGTGAGGCGCCTTAGGGTAAGTAAGTCATTATGTTTCCAGGTCTTTGAGCAGCCGCCAACTCTCAGGACCTCGCAACGTGCAAAGCTTGCCCGATGAAATGTTGCAGCGAAACTTGGAGGTGGCAGAGGCGCAGAACACGCGCCCTATTTTCTCTGTGTTGGCGTCGTCAGAGGTTGCAAGACATGTCACCCGAAGCTCGGCGGGCTGAGATGACGTGCAAGATCAGACTGAAGTATGCAAGCGCCCCTGGCAGCGCCGTCAAACTGCCCCCATTTGCCGGCTCCTGCCTCACGTGGGTAAGCACAAGTTGCCGTCCCAGTTGTGGGCATTCATTCTCTGCCTTTGTTTTGTGATGCCAGAGTTGCAGAGACTCAACGCTTGCGCGCAGTAGCCAAGTTCTGTTCGTTCCTGGGTGCAAGAGTTTACATCAGTTTGATGCCTGCTGTCTTGCTGCCATGGCAGCCACGCAATGTCATGTGCAGTCCGTGTTTCAGGGTTGACCCCTCTCCCTCTCCCTCCGACCCCCTCCCTCCATCCGAAAAACCGCTTGCCGCTCGGTTTTCTCTTTTTCTTTCCTTTGCATCTGAGGGCGCGAAGCGGTGGCGCATCTACGCGACTTCGCAGGAGGTGCCCTCGTGGCCGGTGCTGGACGCCGGCATGACTGACAGGCTGGCTTCAGTTTCCAAGCGCCGGGAAATAAAGGTGTGCTCAACTAGCTTGTCTTCAAAATGGGTTGGAGAAATCTGGGGTTGAAGATCTTACCTTGACTGTTCTTTGCTTTTGCTTCCTCCTTCCTGTCAGAGGTCCGAGATACTGTCACAACGGCAGCTTTTTGGAAATGATTGCTCATTAGCAATTGGCGGTTCCTTACAACAAACAAATCCCTATTTCTCTGGTGTGTGTGTGTGTGTGCGCGCATCTTTGTACTCTATGCACCAAATCTCAGGTGGGTGGGTCCCCAATAGAGGACTCCTGAAAATGCACTTTCCGAAAGGTTTCCCCCAATTTGAGGATACAATTGTCAGCTTTTGTTTTGCACGGAGCACTGGGTTGGTCACGACCCACACTACTAGAAGTCGTCATCATGGCACCACGTTCGGGTTTGTCTCAAAATCAGGGGACTCCCAAAAGAGGGCCCGCAAAATAAGACACAGTACAATATGAGGATGCACGTCCAGCCACAAGTTTGTGTAGGGGGAAATCACAGCATGTTTCGTCTGCCGGCTTGGCATGTACACTTGGGGCACGGGTTGTTTGATGCTGCGGCGTTCAAGACGCAGCCCAACCTTTTTGTGCCTGTTTCCGAAGTGAGCAGTCCATTTCGCAAAGCCCTTCCTCGCGTCCTTGGAATGCTTCACCCGTTTTGACCGAACGGCATTTGTACAGGCTTTTGTTTCACTAATCTTTGAACGTCTGCACTTCTCCCTGATTTTGTTTTTCACAATACATTTATAGCAACCTCTAGCGGAAAGAACATGGCTTTGATGAGGCCCAAGCCAATGGGTATGGCCTAGCGCTTTGAGTGCCAAGGCCTTTCAAATTTGGTGTGTCTCCTGAGGGTCCGACTGCCCAAATGGGCCGTATTTCTGGTGCCAAAGGTGCCCTTCGAAACCCAAGGCCGACGGGCACAGTGGATTCTGTTTTGGATGTGGGATTTCCAACCCGAAGCCCCCAGGCAGTTTTGAAGCCTTGCAGAGCATTCTTTTTGGGCATGGAAAGCAGACAGGTTTTAGGAGGATTCCTAGTAGACGAAGCCATCAAATAGATTCCTCTTCGAGCCAAGTGGCGCTCCTCCACAGGACCTGGGCTGAGCCGAGCAATTCTCGCAATTTTGTCACACTTCACATATTGCTCGCATTGAGGCACGAGAAGTGCTCGTGGCCGAAACACAAAGGATACGACCGGACCAAACAAAGTTTGATGCAATGCCAGGGGCAAGGCTGGGGATGTGCTCTACCTGGAGAAGGCCAAGACCCGAGGACTTTCATGAGCTTTTAATGCCAGGAATGTTTGGATGCCCGGCGTAGACCTAGACAAGCGCCATCCTCTTTGATGTCAGCCTAGTTGGCTCTTCCTAGATTCAGAGGACCTTGCTACTATGGACAGACGAGCTTTCCTTTGCCAAGGCTAGAATAACTCCCATGCTCCCCATTTGACATTGGAAGCTTCAGGGTGCAAACATGTTGCCATGACCGAAAGTGGGATTGGCACCCTGTTGTGAATGGCAACAACAAGAAAGGGGGATTCGGGGCGCGCGGCCTGTTCAGTGGCAAAATGGGGTCGGGCGAGGTGGTGTAGGATTGTTTCTCCTGTGGAGTCCTCACTGTGGCTACCCACGGAAATGCTTGGAAAGCTCAGATGTTGTATTGGCAAACCCATTCGGGAATTGGGACGCGCGAGTCTATGGTTGCAGCCATGAGCTTTCTTCAAATCGGCGGTGTCCTTTGTTTCAGGACGGGTTGCCTAAAAGCATGGAAACAAGGCGACACAGGGCATGGCCACCTGTGAAGCCGGTCCTCTCCAAAACGGACATCATCTCAGGCAGGCGCCCTGCTCCTCGACGAATGTCTGCTGCCCGGCGATGTGGTCTACCTGCCCCGAGGCTTCCCACATGTGCCGCGGCTGAGCGGCCTGGGAGTGAGATTTGTAACCTAAGGGCAAATGCTGCTGACTTACTGTGGATGGACAAATCCTATTCCAATACTCATTGGTCTTCATCCATCTCAACTAGTGTAGGCTTTCGTCCATCCGCAGTCTGAAGCAGGGGTAAACAATATGATGATTTGCGTGAGCAATAATGTTGCAATGTGAATTGGTGGTGTACCAAATGTTGGTCCCTTAAATCCGTTCATGCTGAAAGCTTGGACAACCGCACTTTGAAAGGAAAAACATAACCCTTCGCAAGTCCTGAACTTGGCTGGTGGGTGGTTATTATGGGAGTGCCTCTCAAAATGGTGTCCCTATTTTAGTTGATATGTCTTAAACAGAAGCCACAAGAACACCAACCATTCAAAGGGACTGATTCCTATTTTGAGAAACGCCCACGTGTCAGACTAGTTGCCCTTTTCAGGACTTGCCTTGTGCTCCCGCAGATTTTCGCGGGGCCAATTTTTCGGGTAGCTCGGGGCCCCCTTTGAAATGTTTTCAAAAGGAAGTCGACATGGAACCAGTCAATTGAAGGGTTGCTGGTTTTGACACACACACACACGGAATTCTGGAGGTTTTCCACCTCTTCGGCTTCAGTTTCGAAGGGGACAAAGGGAGCCCCGTCCAAAGACCACATGAGCATCGAACAACGTTAGCCTCCCAAGTTGCCATCTGCTAGGAGGTCCCTTTGACCGAAATTCTGGGAGTCCCTGACAGTCCATGCCTCAATTGAGCGTGGGCGGAGATTCGTACCGCATTGGGGTGCAGTCTTTGTTTGACTGAGGCGACCAGCACTTTCAGCACTGCGTCACTGCCGGGTGCTGCAAAGAGCAAATACTCCACCAGCCTCACCGTGGCTGGGCAAAGGCAAGGGCAAGGGGCGGACGGTGTAGGTGAAGATATGGCCATTTGGGGACCTTCCTTTTGGTTGGCGATTCAAGCGACACAAACCAGTTTTGGCGGTCTCCTGAGGACCCTTCCAGACGGCCGGTTTGCTTTAGATGTTGTTTATACGTTACTGGGGAAAGGTGTTGGTGGACTCTTGCGACTCGCAGGAATCACAACTCAAGGGTAGCTGAACTGGTTTGGTTTTCATTTGATTGTGTTTGAATGCGTGCGCTTTCATTTATAACCTGTAAGGATTGGTTGTCCCTTTACATTTTGGGCTTGAATCGCCGGTGGACACTCAAAGATCTAAGGTTCCCATTGGCGGGCGCTGTCAGGGTTGTGCGCCTGAGCGCGAGGGGTCCCCGAGTTTTGTTTTGTCCTAGGTTTGGCGGGCCGGGCTGTGGCGGGGTCCCTGGTCGTCGGTTGGTCAGTCGGTGAGTGCCTTTTTGGCTTTTGTGGCATTTTGCGTCTTTTTGCTGCTTTTGGCGGTTTTTGTGGTTTTGGCTTTCTCAGCATCACCAGCACCCTCAATAGAGTGTTTGTGTCCCCACCCTAAACTGGAACTAACAATTTCCAAACCACCAAACATCAACCCTTTCCAACACTACAGCACTAAAACCTGCCCTAAACCCACTCTAACCAGCACCAACCTAACCCTAAACTAACGTTACATCTACTATAAGCTCACCTAAACCCGACCCTAAGCCCACTTGAACCTCCCCTTTCCAACCCCTAAGGCAACCTAAACCAACCAAAAACCCAAGCTCCGCCCAAATCCACCCGTAACAATCCTTGAATCCACCCTGAACTCAGTCATGGCTTAATTGCTTGCATCACACTTCTGTGGCCGGTTTCCTTGAACTATTTACATCCACTGGCCAGACGTCTAAGCACGCACACCAAGCATTTGTGCCAAGCTTGAATACAGCACTGAACCCTGAAATTGAAACGTGGTTAAGTTCATGTTGCCTTCTAACGGCAAGAATGACTGCATGGTTCACTTGAAACATTATGGGGCATGCACATAAAACAAGGCAATTTGCGGGCAAGCAGTCAGCCGCCAATCTGTTGACCAGCGAGAGAGGTGACTGATGCAAATTTGATACGATTGAAGCGCCGGCCCATTCGCCCGTTGCAGTCCCGACGTTTTCGCACAGCTAGCGCACTTTGAGGGGTCAAGGGAACTGACAAGTAGCTTGATTCCCCCTTGGCTTGGTTCAACCACTTGGATACTCCAGTCAAGCACGGTGGATTCCTAAAAATTGCCAGTAATATTCAACAATCACAAACCATGGCAAGCATGGTAAATGACAGGGTTTCGCTTGTACCCCACTTGCTGCATGTGGGGACTGGGATGAGGTGAGCTTGTTGCTAGAATCCGTGGGCCTCACGGTGGACAAAGTGCTGCGCTGCGCGGCCGGCATGCAAGAGGCAAGCTCGCTGACCTCAAAGGGCTACACACAGAGGTCTGTGTACAAAAACCTGGATTCACATGGGTTTCTGAAAAGTGGGGGGTCCTCCAAAATGAAATCTCACCAAGCATGAAAGCGTTGGTGGGTTCTAAGCTCTCTGTTAATCTGGAAAGATATCCCCCTACAACACAATGCATGATTGCTGCACGCAGGCAGAGGGTTTGGGACCACCGTGGTTGACAGGATAAACAGCCTAGCATGGATCAGCCGCAAAGAGCAAAGTGGGGTTTCTCAAACAGCCGGATCTGCTTTGGGATTGTACTTAAAGGGACATCAACCGGAAACCTTTTCAGATTTCAATCTTGAGAGGCTCACGCATGTGCCCTGTTGGTGACGTCTGACCGGAGGGCTGCAACGAGCGGGGGCAGTGCTTCGGCGCGGAGGAGATCTTGATGGCAACGCCCAAGCACCAGTCCTTCGGCTTGAGAGCGAAGCGGGCGGGAGGGTCACTGCGAGGCTTCGCAGAGTTAGCAGAAAGCCCAAGCGGTCAGGATCAAAAGTTATCCCGGCGTGGAAACTTAAGATGCTGTATGAAGGAGCAAGAAACGGGGGCTTTCGCATTTTCCCGCCAGGCAAAAGAACTGCCAGCTATTGAAGGAAAGACTAAATCGGACACCTGAACAACGACTAACTGCCATAGAGCCGGACGAGAAGGGACACTCACCCGAGTTGACATTCAAGCTTGCCACATTTGCTCTCCTGAAAATACTGATACGCTTGCAAAGTGCAACCAAATCCTGTACGACGCACTTACAACCATCCAACCAGAATTTCCGAGCAATCTAGGCTCAAGATGTACATATTACAATCAAATACACATTGTTAAATATATCACTGACATTGTTAGTCGTGCATTTGGGAATTAGAATCTAATTTGAGTGATTTGTGATCTAGGAGTGCGTCCGTTTCAACAAGACATGAAATGAACACCAACTTGAGTGTGACAGATTGATATGAAACAATTGTTGAGGCAGTATATGATTACTAGTACAATATATACATATGTGTCATTCTTATGCGTTGGGCAAGTATAAGTCAACAGTATTTTTGTTTGTGATTGCAAGGGCCCTTGATCCGACCCCCCTCCTTGGAGGTGGGAAATTTGGGGTTGGGATCACGGTCCAGTCTTGATTGTTTCGAAGAAAGTCAGCTTGACAAGCACTATGACTATTTCGCGCGGTGGCCGATTGGAACAGTGGTGTTTGGAGAGCCTTTGCCAACATTAACTGCTAGCCTCGCCTAAGGCAGCTGAGGGCGACCCTGCCCATAGGCTGGCAGAGCAGGGACTGAGGAGACGGGAGGGTGATTCTGGCCTTATAGACAGGCGGTTAATTACCTCATTGGCTTGATCGCATCCCTCCAACAACTCGGTGTAAAGCAGTCCTTTCTGGCCCTTGGCAGCTGGGTCGCAGTTGGCCCAGGTGTCGATGTGCCCCATGAACTGATTTCACTTAATGCAGGTCTCTCAGTCCAGCGATGCAGAAGCATCTTAAGGATTATTTATTTTCCCATGGGCCCAAAGGTTCCTGGCAAGGCGAACTTGCCCATCCGGAGAGCAAACGAGCGAAGCACCCGGGTGGGAGAGGAAGCCTGCAGCTTGAGTCAACAGAGTTGTTAACCAAACTTCTCCGACCAGACTCCCACGCATATCGCAAAAAGATCGCGGAGATTCCAGGCTCGAGCTGAACAGGGCCAATATATACCCTGGCAATGTAGGAAGCTGTTTGCCGACGCTAAATCCTTCAACAACCAAGCCCCGATCGGAGATGGTCTCTACAGTGTTTCCAGCCAAAGTCTTCCCCTCCCTGCTTACATTTCCTCATGCCAGGCTTCCTTGCCAGCACGGTCTCCCCATCGTTGCGCGCGGTTTCCCTGGGCGCGGAGCATCAGGAGGTCTGGGTGGAGGCGAGAGACGAAAGTGTGCGGTTTTGTTTGGGCTAAAGCGGGGGTGTTAGACGTAGAGACCAAAGCCATATTGGCCAAGATTCCTCGGTAAGTAGGTTATAGCCAGGATTGTACGTCAGCCTCAGTTGTCTCACTAACTTTTCGTGTGACGGAACCACGCAACAAGTGCACGAGAGCCTCCGGAAATTCCCTCAGCCAGGTGGGTGTACGACCAGTCTTAAGGAATCTTGGAAGAGGGGGCGAGGCAGAAGACAGGTCGCCCAACAAGCGAAGGATTATGATGGGGGTGCTCATGCGCAATCTTCCGTCACAACCTGTTGAGATCTTACATTTGGTGATTGCTGGGCACAAAAGACACTTGATAAGACGACGCTGTGCCACTTGGCTTCAGTTTCGGTTGTGTTCTACTGTGATCTCAGTTACTACCACTTCAGCTCTAAGACCTCGCCGTCCAGGACTCGGGATCATCAATGACTTCCCAGACCGATCCTCCCTGTTGGGGTTGGTTGCGAGCAAGAGCCAGACGGAACACGCCATTTGGAAGGAATCCCTACCGTCGGCCCCACCCATGTGGACATGCATAGGAGAGTTCAGCAACATCACTTCCTGCGCTTGAATGTTGTCGCATGACCATGGTCACAGAGGATGGGCGACGGCGACAGCCGAGGTTCTGCAGAGCCTTTTGCGTCTTCCCAGAGCAGCATTGTTCAGCTGGCGAGATCCAAACACTGAGGCTACAAGTTGTGATGTAACTCTATGGGTCTCTCATATTATCCTCGGTCGAACTTGGAATTGTCCCGAGCAGTCTACATTATTTGGACTTCGTGGGGTATTCTGCCAGCGTAGTTGTTTGCAGTGAGCTAACTAGAATCAGAGAGTGCCTGTAGTCCTTTGTAGTCTTGGACTCTGGAGGCAATGGTGGTGAAGCTGATGAGCTTGGCAAAGGAGTGTGGTCTGGATTCTTTGCTGCAGCGAAGCTGCTACGACTACTACTGCCAGTACCGATGATGATGATGATGGTGATGATGATGATGATGTTTACCATATGATAATTTTGTATTATATATATACATATATACACACATATGTATACAAACATAATGCTATGTATATATCTATATCTACATGTATGTGTTTGTATGTAATGTAATGTAATGTGATGTACTGTATGTATGTGTGTGTGTAATGTATTGTAATGTAATGTAATGTACTGTAATGTAATGTAATGCAATGTAATGTATTGTTATGTTATGTTATGTTATGTTATGTATGTATGTAATGTAATGTAATGTAATGTAATGTAATGTAATGTAATGTAATGTAATGTAATGTAATGTAATGTAATGTAATGTAATGTAATGTATGTATGTATGTATGTATCTATGTATGTAATGTATGTATGTATGTATGTATGTATGTATGTATGTATGTATGTATGTATGTATGCAATGTATGTATGTATGTATGTAATGTAATGTAATGTAATGTAATGTAATGTAATGTAATGTAATGTAATGTAATGTAATGTAATGTAATGTAATGTAATGAAATGTAATGTAATGTACTGTAATGTATGTATGAATGTAATGAATGTAATGTATGTATGTATGTATGTATGTATGTATGTATGTATGTATGTAATGTAATGTATGTATGTATGTATGTATGTATGTATGTATGTATGTATGTATGTATGTATGTATGTATGTATGATATGTATGTATGTATGTATGTATGTATGTATGTATGTATGTATGTATGTATGTATGTATGTATGTATGTATGTATGTATGTATGTATGTATGTATGTATGTATGTATGTATGTATGTATGTATGTATGTATGTATGTATGGATGTATGTATGTATGGATGTATGTATGTATGTATGTATGTACGTATGTATGCATGTAATGTATGTATGTAATGTATGTAATGTATGTATGTATGTATGTATGTATGTATGTATGTATGTATGTATGTAATGTATGTATGTATGTATGTATGTATGTATGTATGTATGTATGTAATGTATGTATGTATGTATGTATGTACGTATGCATGTATGTATGTAATAACGCAACGTAAACGTAACGTAAACGTAACGTAACGTAAGTAAACGTCAACGCTAACGTAACGTAACGTAACGCAACGTAAACGTATGTACGTATGCATGTATGTATGTATGTATGTATGTATGTAATGTATGTATGTATGTATGTATGTATGTATGTATGTATGTATGTATGTATGTAATGTACGTATGTATGTATGTAAGTATGTAATGTATGTATGTATGTATGTATGTATGTATGTATGTAATGTATGTATGTATGTATGTATGTATGTATGTATGTATGTATGTATGTATGTATGTATGTATGTATGTATGTATGTAAGGTAGGTAGGTATGTATGTATGTATGCATGCATGC